CCTACTAAATATTTTTTCTCGTAAAATACTCGACAACAATCGAGTCATTGTGTTAGTATTCAAAAAATCTGAAATTTGTATTATTCTTAGCTTGTGGATTTATCTTGATGAGACTCGCCCAGACCGCTAGGGGCTTCAAAGCAAGGTAAGGTTTCATCTCTCTCAAGCTGATGTTGTTTGTCTCGTGTATAATATTTATATACTATGAAATGCTAGGTAAATGTAAAAGTATTGCTTTTCACGCGGCATCAATTTTATGTGCTTTTAAGTAAATTGAAGTAGAATTTACGACGTAATACGAAAATTCACTGACGAATTTTAATCTACAAATGTACGTAATGATTATATATTTATATAATGGGAGTCATATAATTTTTACTCTCATACTATTTTTGTATGACCATTAGACATAATGTAGAATGTGTTTAGAATACTTTCTCATGACCAGAACGTTAGTTTGTCATTGGCCATTGACCTTTAGGTAGTACATTAAATTACTTTAAAGGCTGCATAAAGTCTCGTTTTTGTCCTAATAGTTGGAGCTATTGTGTTGGTCGTAACTCTATATTAAAGCGTTATACCTTCTACGTTTCTTTGTTACGTTGGTATTGGATTTTCAATTTTAATCCTATCCCACTAAGACAGAAATCCATTTAATACCTAAAATGTTTCTATATAATCCAAATCCTATCTAGGTATTGGGAACGATGTTTACCGAGCACAAGACTTATAATGGCTTCACTGTAATTATAATTACATTTACAATGTTTGTAGGACATTTTAATTTTTGGTACAATTCAATATTTTCTATTAGAACAAAAATAAATCTCTATTAAATTAAGCATAACTTTTAAAATTCATTGTTGAGTTTTTATTATAGAAATATAAAGAATTAAACAGTATAATATGTATGTACATGAATTGTTTTTTTAAATATTAAAATTCAAATGTACACAAAAGGCTCGTGAAGTAGGTATCATATTTCCCTTGTTATAATTAATAAATCCATCATGTTGCTATGGTAGCACTTGTATTGAATTTAAAATGTATATTTTTAAGCACAATAGAATCACTGTTGCCCATTTTGAAATACTATATTCGTTTCGTCTCGTTTATAGTGACAAACTTCTAAGTCATTAAGAATTTATTTTTGTCAACATTTTTCTAAGTTACAAAGGAGAAACAAAGTTTTGGAAGTATTTGTGATGACAAAAAATAGTTTTTTAGATAATAATTAATTCAACGAGAATCTCTTTTGTGAATAAACAAGCTTGATTTGTTATAAAATATAATTTATATACTTTTAATGTTGATGTTTAAGTGGGAAAAATTATTAATTAGGCTTATACTATATTATTAATGAATTCATTGAAAAACTTAACATAATTAACCTCGTTTTATTGTTTACTTAAATAACTTGGAGATGCGTGAATTTTTCATATATGTAATAATATTAAATTTCTATTCATATTAAAATTGCACGTGACGGGGATTTCCCCAGACAGATGTAGAAGTTATTTTCCTTAGAAAATATTATATGTACTTATATTCGTTCTACAGGAGTAAGTGAAACATTGTATTAGAAAATTTCATTATAGTCTTTTTTTTTGTAAAAAGACTATATGTAGTATCAAGTACGCATGCAAAACAATAGTCCCTTGTTCGCGTTGTTTTTCGAAAATGTATATATGCTATACCGAATTTAAAGACAATTTTATATTTTTTGTAGTTAAATCAAATGTTTGACCCTAAAAGCATTTAGTAAATAGATTACGCATATAATAGATATTGAACGATCGCTATCATCACATTGTTGTTTAAAACGTCATTGAATTGAAATATTATTTTCTTAGAATTTAGGGATAAATTTGATGTCTTCTTAATGTTCATTCATGAGAGGTAACAAAGCGGACAGGATTCGTGGTACACCGAGATAGCAGGGATTTAGTTAAAGTGTATTGTGTGAGATAGCTTAGTAATAACTTTGAGTTTATAAATTGTTACGTAAATTTACTACGATATACCTATATACAAATGACATACATATATTTTGAAGGAGACTGCTTCGATTTATTTCTTAACGTCATTTCATTTGACACTTATGTGTTCTTTATGTATGCTTGTTAATTGATTTTTAAGTATCCAGACCACAATAGAGATCGAAAGTGACCATTATGGGTATATGATCCTTGAAGGGGTGCTTTTAAGTGAAGACTAGAAGTGTTCTTAATGCAAGAACTCTTATAGGCTTTTATAAAATTCTGATATAGTCGTACCAAGGAGTAGAAGTAGTATATTATTTTAAACGATAATCATGGATTAAATTATCCAGATTTCCGAAATGAAATTGCGCCGGAAATTATCTGTTCTGCGACTAGCCAAAAATTTTTTAGACCGTTCTTCTAAAATACCTTAAGTATTTTTATGAACTTTATATTAAAAGAAGATATTTTTATCAAAAGTCCTCTAACTATTATTAGATATCTCGTGAAAGGTAAACGTTTGCTACAATTCACGTCGTGTCCATAATTTTAATTACTTTCTTGTTTTATTTTATGATGAGAAAAGTTTTGTACTTGCGAGCCTTCACATAATATTGTATTGGATTTTCTCATATTTTAAATGAGTTTAATAAATATATATAGGTATATATATTTTTTATTTTTTCCTTCGATGTTATTTGTGTGGGGTCATATGTTTGTAAATATATATTTAATGGTCTGAATATAATATAACTATTGTAAGGTTATAATTCAGTGTTGGCCTAGTGGTTAAAAGGCCCGCCTCTCGTGCCTGAGGGCGCGGGTTCGAAACCTGGCAAGTACCAATGTGATTTTTCCGAGTCATATGTACTTTCTAAGAGTATTTAGACACCACTGACATACGGTGAAGGAAAACATCGTGAGGAAACCTGTACTTGTAATTTCAAATTGTAAGTAAATCACCAACCCGTCTTGAGCAAGCGTGGTTATTAATGCTCAAATCTTCTCCACGTGAGAAGAAGCCTTCTTAGCAGTGGGCTTCTGATAGGCTGATGACTATACAACGATTTTAAGGTTATACCTATGTATTATACGATACCGGGTAATGTATGAAAATATAAACTAATTTCAAAAACGGTCAGATGTGTACGTTACGTTCAGTTTTTTTTTTAATTTTAAATTAAATGTCACTGTCATAATGACAACGTCACTCATTTAGAAATTTTACTTTAAAAATAATTACTATGTGAATAAAGACAGCATAATAAAAAAAATACAGAAAAAGCTTATGCTCAAGTTGTACATTTATCCGTTATTATTTTGTTTGTAATTTCGTGAAAATTTTATTCTTATGCTAAATGAAAATAAATATGTAATGTTAAATTATGTTCTTCGCCTTTCTATTACATATATGTAACATAAAACCAATTATGTATTTAGGTTGAGACCATTAATCATGGTACTTAGTCTGTGTGTCTCAATGCCAGCCGCCCTTGTTGTCTACGTATATTTTGTGCTTTTAAATATAAAAGAGAATATAATAACATTTATAAATATTTTTAATTCTTATCCCTACTAACATTATAAATGCGAAAGTAACTCTATCTGTCTATCTGTTACGCTTTCACGTCTAAACCACTAAACTGATTTTAATGAAAATAATGAAATTTGGTACGGAGATGGAGTTGACCTTGAGAAAGAACATAGGATAGTTTTTATCCCAGACATTTGAAAGGTTCTCTTGGAAACGCGATATTACCGAACTCCACGCGGGCGAAGCTGCGGCCGGAAAGCTAGTAGATTATAATTTTTAAAAATATAAGTCATTCTGATATTAATTATATTTGAACAATGAAAGCATTAGAGTACAATGATTGTCTTGTGTATGAAGTTACCTCAAATAGAATATATATCTCGCTAGGGGATAGATATATGTATTGTTTATACATATATCTAGCTACTATCTTTTTGACCAGCGAACTGTTTTTATTTAGAGGCAGTAAATAAACAGGTTTTGGATTTTAAGAGCAATTTTTTTTTGGTCGATCGAATTCAAAGGCATCCTTCGCCTGTGCCCTGATTTCAACCTACCCCACAAATTTCCATCCAAATCCTTACAGATGTTCTTGAATTATAAATAGTATAACTCACACGAGTTTCTTTTATATATAGATTAATTTCTCTCTGAGTTCACAATCAGTTCTGAAGTGCACACTGATAAAGTCGCAGTCAAAAAGTAGTCTACGATATATTTATAACGATACAAATATTTGAAGCTAAATTAGTTGTATACAAAAATAAACATGAATGTAACTTGATAAGTTTGTGAACTTGAAATAATAAAATATCACGTTTATAACTTAGATTGACTTCAATTTACATAACTTGTGGTTTTCATTCATAACAAAACTAACACATTTCATAAGATGAATTCATAATGGAACAACTTTAACTCTCACTAAAGGAAATGTTGGAATAATATGTTGAGTTACTTCATATAATAAACAAATGTTCACGAAATACATTTATGAAATTCATTTGGAATGGTATACATATATGTCAAAGAGAATGTATATGTGAATGAATGAAAACTATCATTAAGTCTGATTAATTATTTTCAATGTTAAGAGTATATCATTAATTATATTAATTACAAGCTAGTGCCTGTGACTTGTCCCAGATTTAATTTTGTCCTTTGATCGGATCCTGACTTGATAATGGGATATCGCTATCGATGTAAAAAATAATTAGCTTATATTGGAAAGAGTAATAGCGTAAAAATATTTACAAGAAATGAGAACTTCTTTATGAAAGTCGGTCAAAAAATTGGCCTTATTTATTTTATATGACATTGTTTTCTGTGAGTGAAATTTTTGTCTAATTCGTTCAAGTACTTTCAGATAGTGTACCTCGAGCAATACATAGCATATTATATGATTGATTAATTCTAGTCTGTATTAAAAAACAACTTATTTGAAAATACTATGTAGTTTTGACGATACATATTTTGTTTCACAGGTCCGCCTACGACACCATGAAGCTAGCTAAGGTCGCCATTAAGAAAATATCTCCTTTCGAACACCAAACTTATTGTCAGAGGACGCTAAGAGAAATCAAGATATTGACACGATTTAAGCATGAGAATGTGAGTTGATTATCGTTTAAAAATATACCTTATTGTACGTACAAATAAAGTCGAGAATGTTATATAGTATTAAATCATTAAGTGACGTCACGATTAGTTGTAATATGTAATTATTTGTTTTAGATAATTGATATTAGAGATATTTTAAGAGCCGAAACAATCGATCAAATGAAGGACGTCTACATCGTCCAGTGTTTGATGGAGACGGATCTTTATAAGTTATTAAAAACACAAGTGAGTATATAAAACATTACTATATAATATATAATATAATACACAAAAGTAAGTCCTGACTTCACTTCCTTTTTTTAATATTTTCTTGTTTTTCCTTCTTTTTCCTCCTTTATTTTCCTTTTTTAATATTTTACATTATGTAATCTTCAATATTAATAATAATGATGCTTTATAAAAATAATATTTTTTGATGTACTACGTGTTTTTTATGATTATAAACTTTATACTATTTTTATCTCGGCTGTCCGTGATCACGGTTGCTGCAGAGTAACCGAAACCTCGGGAGTATGTGGTTTAAAATAATAAAAAACGCATAGTAAATTCAAAAATAATAGTTTTAATCAAATTAATTGTCGCGAAAGTCTTAGATCTCATTTATAATGACGCTATTTATTACTGTCATAAAAAAACAATTGCAAGTTTCTTCAGATATTATTTAGAAAATAATTAGAAAAATCGATTCTATACTATATATGGCTAAAATTAATAGTACAATAATAATTAAATGATAAAATTAGTCTTATAATTACAATAGATTAATAGATGATTATACATAAAACTCTTCTCTACGACCACCGAGCAACATCAGATATATATATTAAAAGTTTTTGGTAATCTATATCAAATAACAATGTAATTAAAGCACATTTTCGTTTAACAGAAATTAAGTAACGATCACATCTGCTACTTCCTGTATCAAATCCTTCGAGGATTGAAGTACATACACTCGGCTAACGTGCTCCATCGTGACCTCAAGCCGTCTAATTTGCTACTCAACACCACCTGTGACCTAAAGGTAATTATATGCCATACTTATATCATTATATGCCATACTTACATTATTATATGCCACACTTACATTAATATATGCCATACTTACGTAATTATATGCCATACACATTATTACATGCCACACTTACATTATAATATGCCATACTTACATAGATTTGACCAAAAAATTTAAGCATTCAAGCGAAAGAACTCAGTTAAATGATTCTGTAACTTAAAATGTTCTAGTGATTTTTAGTTTTGTTGTTCATTATATTGGGAATGACGTAAGGAAATAATAACTTAATAGATGTATATTAATGTTTATTATTCTTTACTAATTTTATTTAAGAGATACTTGTATATTTTTCATAATGATAACATCAAAGAGCTCGCTCATTTTTTGAAAAGAAATCTTTTAAGTTTTTTTTTATCATACTAAAATTCGAAAGTATTTTTATTCTGTTAATATTTGAGATACAAATATTCATTACTAGCTTTGAGAAATTAAGTGAAAAATTTTATTTTCAAGTTTCAGTTTATATACTGTCATATGGTATTATATTAAGTTATGAGACGGTTGAAAATAACATTAGGTACGTATTGAAAACGAAATAATCTTAAAATATTCAAGTTCATATTAAATCAAATTATAGAAAATTAGTTTAATGATAATATGAATTGCAAATTAGTTTGAAAGCGAGACGCTATCATAATGTTAGTTTAATATTTCGTTCCATATTAATATATGCCTGCCTGCGGTTCATATGTTGATTATATGAAATTTTCGTGCTACAGTTACAGTACGAAATAAGTATTTTTCTAATCAGACTAGATTTTTATTAAAACAAAATTAGGATTTTTCGAAATCGTCTAGTTCAGTTTAGTATTCATGTACTAAAGATGATAGATTGTACTTACGTTTTTTAAGTTGAATGAAGTAAATTATATGAAATATACATATAAATGCTAGGCACAAAATAATTAAGCCAATTAAATAAAATGACCTACTAGTCATTTTCCTTAATTTTATTTTTAGTATGAAAAAAAAAAATTAATATATCTCTGAATATGTATTTATATTTGGCGAGTCCTTGACGTTGTTTTATTAGTGTTCATTTTGTTTTTATTAAAACACGTGTCGGATCACATTATCCCATACTCTACATGACGATCATCGACGCTACATACGTCTGTTTTAGATAAAACTAAAAGTTATTTATATAAAATGCTTTACCCATATTTAAAGGATATAGGAATATCAAGATCACTTAAGATAAATATATATGTACATTATGCTTAAAAATAATACGATTTTCTTTCTATCGCTGTGTACTCATATCATGGTTTTAACAAGTCTTTACATAAAGACGCGAGTTTATTTATTCAAATTCAAAATATTTTTCTTTTATAAATCAGATATATTATATATCTGAGAATTACCAAGATATATTATATATCTGAGAATTACCATTATGTGTCCAGAATACTTAGCATATATGTAAATGTTAGAGTACATGTGGAGGATTTAATCTTTATTCATACTACAAATGTGCATTTAGCTATGAATGAAAACCTTTTAAAGTTTCTTATGTAGCGTGGCTGTATAAACTTGAAATAAGCATACAGTAAGGTTGTTAGAATCTAGCTTAGAATTGACCCAACTTTATACACCATGATATTAATTTAAATACTTTATACACCATTCTATTAATTTAAATACAATGTGATTTACGTTTAGGATCGTAAAAAAACTTATGGGTAATATTTAACCCCTACTGGTTTTTACGTAGTATGTATATTATGGAATCATTCAATACTGTTTTTTGTTATGTTTAAAGCTGAACAGAATAACCATGGTTTACAGAAACTCCATAAAAACAATACAATTAATAATTAATACGACGAAAAATATTTTGTTACTCTTATTACCTAGTAAATAAATACATATTATCAACATTATTGTATTATGTATATACAACTCGTGTATGTACATACTAGCTATGAAATTTCATATTAATCTAATTTTACAAACTCGTATAGAAACTTAGCGGTATTCTTACAAGAATCTGAAGAACATCAACCAGTTATCTTGTTTAATAATAACTCAACCGCCAATTTACCTGATGAACTTAGTTATATAACACTTTGAAGATGAAAAATCTTTATGAAAGGTAAATTTAGTTCTGTGGCTGAATTTAAAATTCTTTTGAAATATAAATTATCTACATATTTTTTAATTTTAAATGAAAGATTTTTCAGGTTTTATCATTTTTTCCCTTATACCCGACACTTAAAATGATTTTTATGATCGCCGTCGAAATGTAACATATATTTTTTGCTTCATTTTACATTCTGTATTTCGACATAATTTCATTTCCAACATTTTCATATAAAAAACTTCGTAAACAAGTTCGTGATCCAAATGTACATATTAACTATTTCTTTCTTAATTAACTCCAATATAAAGTTTAAACGCTTTGACGTTTGCGGAATTTTAACGGGTTTGTTGAATGAACGTATAAATTTAATATGATTTTAAAATGTTTGATGCAACTAAGATTTTAAGCTAATATATTAAGCACTAGTTTTCGCACGCGTCTGCACCTGCTAATGGGAGATTTCGGAGTAAATTATCGCCTGTCTTATTTTGATATATAATAATCTATATGACTGTTTTGTCTAATCAAAATTCGTTTCGTAGTTTTTGTGTAACAGAGCAACATACTTACATACATCATACATACGTCCTTACTAACTTCAATACATGTAGAATTTATATATTATATAAGATATTTTCTTTATTTGATTGTAAAATTTTTACATAAAAGTTTGTGTTACCGCATTTGAGCTTCCCTGAAACCCCATTTATTCTCGTAACGTGAAACCTTATTGTCCTTGATGTTTTAATTATATTACTTTTACTGGCTGTTACCTGATATTTGATTTGTGTTACCTGGTGATTTACAATGCGTGTTGGTTTTTTAATTAAAATTAAATGTATTGTCTCATAAAATAGGTTTTTCGTATAAACATATTCTCTTTTTTAATTATCGGACCTTTTATTCGGTAACAGAATTTTAGCTACACGACATTATTTTTCTTTTAATGAGATTAAGTTCTGCCTACATTCTTACATGATAAACAAAATAACATATATTTCTATGTATAAATATGAATAAAATATTAATTACCGTCTTTCTATTGGTACAGATTTGTGACTTTGGTCTGGCTCGCGTGGCCGACCCTGATCATGACCACACAGGCTTCCTCACGGAGTACGTCGCCACACGCTGGTATCGCGCGCCGGAGATCATGCTGAACTCTAAGGTATTGTATGTTACATGACAAGCCATGACAAACAAGAATTACCAACAGACTGATCGATATTTCTAAGGTTTGAAGCCTAGTTGTGGTCAAATAACTACAGCTCCAGGAAGTACCACCCTCTCACAGAAAATCGGCATAAAGTAGTCTTAAAGGACTGAGTTTCGTCCGATGAGTGAGAGTGCCGGTTGCCTTTTCACTGTTTCCACCCTTTTCTATCATCTTTTTATTCCCATCCCTCCGTCTTCCTCAACAACCAAGGGTGGCAACGCATCTGCTTTATCTCTTATGTTGCATAAGTGGGCCACCTCCTCGTTTGCCACCCATAATAAATAAAGACTAAGGAGCAGACCGTCCTTCTTATAGTAAATGGCTTATTTCAGCTATGCGCACCTGGAAATTGTATTTTTAGGTGTTAAAGCATAAGCATTAAGCTCTGGATATAAATGAAAATACAACAATATAGGATTAAAAATAGAGAATTTACAGCTTCAGACAATCTTAAACTGAACGCTACATATATGTATATGTACATGGTACTCTGAGCTGATGCTCATTGCTGAGTTAATTCTTTATATTTCCTATGATTTCAGTTAGCTGACCAAACATTGTGATAACGTATCAATTTTCCAATATTATATAAAAATATCCTTATTAGAACTTGCTTTCACATAAGCTTTTATTCAATGATTACGATGTAAATAATATGGTTTATATTTTTTTGAATAAAGTTATAACTTCAGTTGGTCTAATAAGTACTATTTATTATAACAATACTAGCTGACCCGGCGAACTTCGTATCGCCCTATAATCAAAAAATATCTATTACGTTTTTTTATTTATATTTTTGGAGTTTACCTGTAAGCCATAAATCTCCGTGTTTTGAAGTGCGACAGAATGATTGACATATTAGTTAGTTGTCGAATCTAATGTAAAAAAAAACGTTTGTATGGGAAATAGAAAAGGGCTGTTTTTATGGTTTTCCCAGTAATGAATCAATTTTTTTCAGCTTTTATACCTTCCCTGAACCTCCACAAACATTTCAAGACTAAGATAAGATAAATCCGTTCAGCCGTTCTCGAGTTTTAGCGAGACTAAGGAACAGCAATCCATTTTTATATATATAGAAGATTACAAAATGATAACGGGACAGTAAGAGACTAAACTGCAATTGTTTTAGTATTAAATATACGTAGATGTTATGACACCACAAAATATTTATTTACTATTTCCTTCGGACAATCTTCCATGGACGCTGCTAGCAGCGAACGGGATTCACGTGATAAAATATGCATTATTGCATGTTTTATCACGTGAATTTTGGGAATGTTCAATTTATTCTTTTGTGAACAGTTATTTAATTTTGTACTTCTGATCAAAATTAGTGGTATATTCTTTGAATATGGTTCTAGAATCTCTTCTAATCAAATCCAAATTGGTAGTAATTTTTCTCCAAATTCGACGATCTAATTTGATGAACAGAACCTACCTTTCATCTGAGTTAATACAATGCAATAATCAACCGAAGCTTCTGAATTTGTATGTGCTCCTTATACCTCGTAATGAAGTTCTTCATGGCTCTCGATTTTATTGTTTTCATCCGAAATAAAATCCTCATGGTTAATGATCTCTTAAAAATGTTATAAGTGTATCCACAGTACTACGTTGTTCTGGAGAACTCTTGTATTAATATGGAAATGTATTCAGTTATTTCCGAAATGAAATTCGAAGAGGCTTTGTGGCCATTAATTTTATTGAATCTCGTTGGTTATAGTGTCGAGACAATAAAAATTTCTCTATCAGCCGATCCATGGTTTTGTTGGAAGCCTATATTTTTTTTCATATCATTTATGACTATAACGAGAATCTCATATAACTATGGCAAAGTTCAATATAATTGTAGTCATGAAAAATATATAATTAAAATGATTTTTGAAATGTTTGGTGCTGAATACCTCGCAAATAGATTTTTTTGGCCGCAAGCTCGTGTGTGGGTCAGTACTGTATTTGGGAGTACTTTTGTTATATCAAAACATTTTTCTTACATCAAATTATTTCAAATAATAAATAAAAGTCAGGTATATACATACTAATAAGTTTTAAGTTTGTTTCAAATTATTCTAGTAAGCGTTACAGAAATTATTGCTGCATATTAAATGCACCTGTATTCTCTTATTCGTAAAGCTTACATTTCTCCAAAGTAGTAATAAATTTACTGAAGTAAAAGCTTTATTTCCATTAACCATAGGAAGAGATAATAGTCACGCTATTATACAGAAAAAAATGTTGCAAAAATGTCTTTCAGAAGTATGTTTTTTATTCATAAAGTAAGGTAAACGGAACGTTGGCCCTAAAATGATCTTTTAAAGAAACCTAACTCTTTGTGTCCTAAAAATATTTATGTATGTAAGTTGTTTCTTAGAAATGGACCTCATAGAAAACTTACTTTAAATTTTAGACCGTAGTTGTTTATCGGTTTCGGAAACTTAAACTACTACATTGTTACCGTAATGTTTTATAAATCTTTTTTTGATCTGATTAGCACAGTGTTGCCATATTTCTGTCTTATATACCCTTAATAATAGTATATTAAAATATTATTTAAATAGTTCTAAATTTATTGTCACTGATACCCATTAAGACGGGTGATTGTCAATATCTCTGGATCAACAAATTGGCTTTGTCCAGAAACGTTATTACATCGTGTCAAGTTTCAATGTCCGAGGGACAGAGCCTCGTTTGGTTTTATGTATTATTTGACAAATATATATATGGCTTCAACGATAAACAATATTTTCAATTTAAGAGCTATGTTTGAGAATAACACATTTATAAAATCCACATGTAAAATATGATTGGCATTTGTTTTATTGATTATAGATGTAATTTATGAAATATATTATTTAAAAAAATGTATTTAGTATAGTTAAGAGTTCAGTAAATAAAATTACCTACAAAATGGGTAACATTACTGAATTAATCTTGTATTGGATGCAATCGATTGATTATTATAGACTACTAGAAGACCTGGCGAATTTCTTATCGCCCTATAATCAAGAAATATCTATTATGTACGTTTTATTATTTATATTTTTGGAGTTTACCTGTAAGCCATAAATCTCCGTGTTTTGAAGTGCGACAGAATGATTGGCATATTAGTTAGTTGTCAAATCTAATGTCAAAAAAAACGTTTGTATGGGAAATAGAAAAGGGCTGTTTTTATGGTTTTCCCAGTAATGAATCAATTTTTTTCAGCTTTCATACCTTCCCTGAACCTCCACGAACATTTCAAGACTAAGATAAGATAAATCCGTTCAGCTGTTCTTGAGTTTTAGCGAGACTAAGGAACAGCAATCCATTTTTATATATATAGAAGATAGAAGATTTAATCTAATAGAAATAAAGAATGTTATAATAACTTCAAAATTATTAAAGGCATAAATATATAGTACAATCGTGTATGATACGTACAATGTAGGTGGATGTAGCTTTACAAATAGCACTTTGTAGTTCATTATACAGAGAATTTCACAGTGAAGTGGAAAAGTATCTCTCGGGAGTTAATGAATAAATTACATTTTTGTTCGTTGTTATTCATACGTCATATTTAATTATTAGAACTGATATTTTACTGGCCTTATTCTGAGTTGAAATATTATTGTTTTATTAAATATTTTGTTTTCATAAATAAAATATAATTTTCATATACTGTGAAAGTTTAACAAAAACGTTGTTTATTTTTCAATAATAACTGTTATAAGAGTCCATAAATAAATAAAAAAAATTTCTATCCACCGATGCTTGAGACAAATTGAATTTTTTACATGCATTTAATGGATTTAATATATTTTAAAATAGTGAATTATTATTGAAGAACCTAATTTTTTTATCTTATTTTTATTGTTACATGTAAGGTATAAAACTAATTAATCAAACCAATGAAAATATATAGAGTGATGTTATTTTAGATTTAGTAATTGAAGGGAATGGTATGTACTTTAATAGTAGTGATTGAAAACAATAGCTTTGAAAGCCCTTACATAGTAAAGCATTGTAGCTATAATTTTCACGAGTGGTATGATGATGAAGAGAAAATAAATTGTCTTTTCTACTTCAATCATGTTGATATGTATGCATTGAAATTATTTTCACCTTAAAAGAACATTTTCATTAAACTTATATGTTTGTTTTATACTGACTTTATTGTTTGATGGAGTCGATATTTAAGAAAGCCTTTAGTTATTGTCTGTACAACATAAGTTGTATTTGATTTCTTTGATTATAAAGAATTATTTTATTTATAACCAAAAAAAAAATCACTAAAGAAGTCGTTTTTGTAACGTTATTTTTAATAATTTATACTGTTTTTTTCGTAGGGATACACAAAGTCAATAGACATCTGGTCTGTCGGCTGTATCTTGGCGGAGATGTTGTCCAATCGGCCGATCTTCCCTGGGAAGCATTACCTTGATCAACTGAACCACATTCTGGGCGTGCTAGGTTCTCCGAGCCAGGAAGACTTGGACTGCATCATCAATGAAAAGGTAAACTTACTTACTTACTTTAAGGTGTTGTCTATATACTACTATAAATATGAAGTAATTTTATACGTATTTTTTTAACCTATATATATATAAAAGAAAATCGTGTTAGTTACACTATTTATAACTCAAGAATTTCTTTACGGATTATGCTGAAAATTACTTGGGATATAGCTTAGAACCAAGAAAATGACATAGGATATTTTGAATTATTTCGCCCAAAAAATAATAATTTGCTAATAAATCATTTATTTCCCGTCTCTCTGACTGTAAAAAACGTTTATTTACATTCCCTAAATCGAAGCAATTCATCTGGTCATCTATACATTTCTATTTATGAAACTAACACGGACAAAGCCGCAGGTAAAAGCTAGTTTTGTATAATTAAAAGTTAAACTTATTACAACAGCCCGCCTATCTAAAGTCGCATTACAATCGGAAGCGGAGTGGGGATAGGGTAATTGTCGCTCTTTAATGTAGCCTAGCCGAACGGTATTCGCTGATGACGGATTTATATTCTGAAAAATTCGTAAAAGTGTTCGAAGTATTTAGATCTTACGTTTTTTGTTTTATACATATGTTGCTTTAGTAGGTTGTAGACTCTAAAAGTTAGCTTATTTCTAAATAATTTCACATTGAAAATATGGGGAAAACAAGTTTTCATTCTTATTAAAATTATTAAAAAAGTTTTCAAAACATTTATAGAGTACAAGTATATTTGAATACACTTGGCGAGTTCTGAAAGTAATGATGGTTAATATTAAATATAAAATGCTCTTCAAAGTGTCCTAGGAAGTCAATACCCTTAGTCCTTATTTTCTGAAATCTAATGTTTTTTATTATATTAAAAAATATGTTTATTACGTTCTGGAAATAGATTTTAAACCTATATTTATGACAACTTTAATTCGTATATGACAACAACTTTGTTGAAACAATACGGCTTAACAACTTTAGCTAACTATTTTATACTGCAACGATTTGGAAACAGCTTTTTCGGGTTATGGTTTTATGAATTGTCTGAAAATGAATTAGAGTGTTAAAAACTGATTTTGTTTGGAAGAATTATAAGATATGGTTAAGAAACGTGCTTAATTTAACTCAATAAAAATGTACTATTTAAAGGTAACAATAAATAATTAAAAATCAGAATATAATTGGTATGGTAAAAAAATTCTACATCGTTTTTTTTTGCGTTTCCTCTCGTCCTCTGACTTCGTAATAATATGTTCAGAATATGTGTGATTTTGAATGTCCATCTATAAATGATCCGTCGTGTAATACAGGCTCGTAGTTACCTGGAGTCCTTGCCGTATAAGCCTCGCGTGCCGTGGACGGAGTTGTTCCCGGGAGCTGATCCTCGAGCCCTGGATCTGCTTCATCGTATGCTGACCTTCAACCCTCACAAACGCATCACAGTCGAGGAGGCATTGGCACATCCCTACCTTGAGCAGTACTACGACCCTAATGACGAGGTATGAAAATAATAGTGCCATAAATTAACACTTTACAAAGATCGTAAGTGACTTATACATAGTTAGGAGTTTGTGGAAGCAAATTTCATATGTATTTATGCTTAGAACGTGTTTCCATTATCAAGCTACATACGAAGTCAATCAATGAAAGTAATAAATTTATGAATGAAAAACTGTTTGTAATAAGCACACTGATATCTTATTGTTTCTTCACTAAAGTGTTTGTAATTTCATTTGTAAATAATATTTCGTTAATCGCTTAAATTAAAATTGTGACAGCGAAGGATCTTGATAATTGTTATAAATTTAATTCTCCAGTCCATTACGAAATTTGTATATGAAATTATTAATACAATTACGACTCCTATGGGAAATGAAATAAAACACCAATGCTTTAGAAACTCGAAATGACACTTACTAATAAAATTATAAAATTAATATAAAGGAATTTTTTTACTTTATAGTATATGAAGTATGTATTTATGGTATTCGCTATTTAGTTTATTGAAGTATAACAGTAAATATTATGTGGTAACAATGTATATAGGTTTTATTTGAAAGCATTCAATCGATTTAAATTCCATTGGTGTACAAATTGTTAGGCTTCCATATAAATACACGTGAAATATATTTGATTGTAAATTGTATATATAGTAGAGATAGTTCATAAAAGTCCCCCAAATAATACTCCGATCTTATTTTATGTTGAGACTCATTTTATAATATTCTATTGTATTCTACCCTTTGGGTTTTTAAGCCTTGCAGATTAATCTAATACCTATTGTTTAATGGAAGCAAAATCAAATGTTTATTAGTTTATACATGATTATATTAAATAAATTCATATTAAATTATTTTTAGTTCAAGTCCATTGAGTATTGTAAGAACGCCTCACGAAATCTAAGAATATTCAAAGAATGGATAGTTAACATTACAATGTTTATTTCCATTCCTTTTTTTTTATTTTCACTCATAGCTAACTAGTATTTATATCTATACAAGTGTAAATGATATATAATAAAAGTTGATATCACGATTGGCGTATTAACACGAACATTTATTTGCAGCCCGTCGCCGAAGAGCCGTTCAGATTCACTATGGAATTGGACAACTTACCAAAGGAGACGTTAAAGCAATATATATTCGAAGAGACATTATTGTTCAAACAGATCAATGAGGACGCGTAGATTGTACCAAAGAAAATGGACACGCATTCAGCTCAATACAGAATTTTACAGTTTCATTGGATATGTATCTCGTTAGTAACATTTGTCTATAGTTCTGTAAAATGATAATTCAATTTGGAATGCTTAGGGGCTTATCGGAATTTTATTGAATATTATACTTGCTTGTCGATGTCTCTTGATTGTATCTGATAATGACGGAGTTTGTATTATTACCGTTCTATATGAACTCGGTCGAATATGTATTCAATGTGAGTATTGTATGCGTTTAATTAACATTAATTTTGTGATTATTTTGTATTTTATTTAATAGATGATGGCAAAAAAATTACAACGCAGATAGTCTCAAATGATTATCTTATTATATTTGAGGCGCGCTAGTTACAACGACTTGTTATAGAATAACGTGTTTTTCCCCTTGGCTACTTATTAAAGTGACGGTAGTTATCGTTTTAATTTACTCGATGTATTTTAATATAATGTTCGACTGGAATAGAATTTTCAAAACTTAGATGTATATTTAAATAGTACATTAATTATAGATAGGATTTTTCTGAAATTTATCAATGTTACATAACTAGTCGTACATTTATTGATGGGAGCGAGTTATACAGTATTAAATAGTTCAGTGTACCCGCGTGGGTACACAGAGAATCATCAAAAAAAAAACATAATAAGATTTCTGGATTGACATCGGATTCATATGTAGGGAAACTGAATATTTTTTACATAACTAAGTATTTTAAAATGTCACTCGTCATATTTGAAGCACTTTTACTTCTTTGAAACTAACGTGTTCGTTTTAAAATCTTATTTTATATATCGATCGTTTAAATTATCGTCTTCCTCATGTTGAAAGATTTAGCGCACAATATTTAGAATAGTTGATTCTTCATATCAGATATTTTGAATAGTTGGTGGGTAGTTGACGAATTGTTGGAGTTTTTCATGGTTCGATAAAGATGGCGCTGTTTAAAGTTCGTCTTGTTATATATGGTGTTCTGTGAGAAGGTCTGAAGATGGAATTTCACTATTCATTAAAGTTGTCTGTTGAACGTATTTAGAGGGCGTGTTGAATTCTAATCTTTTTATATTTAATTGATTCTAGCGAAATCGTTTATCATTATCGTCTAATGTTTAAAATGTTGCTCGATCAACGTAAGACTGCGACATAATATATAATACTTTGATCGCATTCCAAGTTTGTTATCTTTGATTATTCTGAAAATTTAAGACTAATTAAAAAGAGGTTTAGAAAATATTCATATTAACGAGCTAGTAATACAATTTTCTATGCAGGAATGCGTTGCAGTCTTATTGTTGTCTTTATTGCTTATATCATTGATGTAATGACTAAGTCTCGTTCCCTTAAATACATAATTATAAAACCTTTGTGATGAAGCGTTATGTTAAATGTTCCAGATATTTGAACCCATACCGTAACACGTTGTATAGTTCTCAAATTGTTTCATTGACATTATAAATAAAGTGTTCTATATTTTTAGAATATCTTCCAGTTTATTGATAAAAAGACAGTTACTCGTTATTGTGGCATAATAGTAGTAGATTTATCTCTTAATTGTGAATGTCATCTCATTCATTGACGGCTCCCGTTTAAAGAGCCTTTAAATAGCGTTTTTTGTGGCGTTTGAAAGCTACGCCACAAAATACGCGAATGCAAAAAGGGACGTAAGTATCTCTATGACGTATTTAAAATTGAAATCTGTAAGACTCGCGTTAGAGTTTAAATTGTATTGTTTCATTCACTAAAGTCGTATACAACGGATTATATGCATCTGTATGTACAAATGTACGAAACGCTCTGCATTTAGTGTTATATCTTTTCATATTCTGATCTTTTCACGTCGATAGATTTTTAATATTTCTTTAAACAACGTTATATAGAACAGTTATGGAATTTTTCGTGGCCAAATATCATTTAAAATAGAGCACCTAAGATTAAATTGGTGTATGAATAAGAATTACCATTTTTGTTTTTATGTGGGTAGACCAGATTTATTAAAAATGTGATATTGTACTACCCACGTCAGTTCACCTGGCGAGTGTTTGTATATACATGTAGGCATATAATCCGATGTACAGATATAACTCTAAGAGTTTAACATTATCATGTTCAAGTGACACCAGAATACCATTACGTATTTATTGTTAAAATATGAGTGTTGCCATATTTTCTTAAGTCATTATGTACAAATTGGATATTGTAAGATCATTTGTTATCTGTCAACAGTTGATTATTATGAATATAAATTAAAACAAGACATTCTCGTGTGTTTTATTGTCGTGTATCCTTTAGTTTTAGTAGCTTTTTTGGAGTAAAACTTTGCGTTACGTTGCGCAACAAGGTTGCGTTAAACGTTCAACGCTGTTGGAGAGGGGAATAGAAGGAGATGGAGTGAAAGTAAATGGGTGGATCATTTGTGAATTGTAAGCAATGTTTACGGTTAGTCGTAAAAAACAATATGAGTTTATTTAAAAATTTATTTTTGCCACTTCCTATTTTCATTTCCACATAATGAAGTTTCACTTCTTCTACGCACTATTTTTTTTTTATTATAAATAAATATTCAGCTCTGGTTGAAGCCATTGATTTCCAGGGCAATGTATTTATTTCGTTTGTTGGTTGTGGTTGTGTTAAAATAACTATCACAATTTGCAAGCTAAAATTTAGTTTCCATTTTTAAGATGGTGCGAATGAATTAAGGTCGTATATAACACAGTCAAAGTTACTATGTAAAATTATTTTGAAACATAGAATTGATTAAAAATACTTAAAAATATTCAAAATAAACTTTACATTAACATGACTCTGACACACATATAATAAATGCATCCCTAAAGATTATAATATGAGTTTATTGTTATTAGGTAAACGTCAAAGGAAATGAAATTTCTATCAAACTTGATATAATAAAACTTTTTGTAGTTCTAGGTAGAAATATAACAAGAGTTTTCTTTAAAAAAATAAATATTCTATTCGACAAGCTCCTTTCTCCGCACAGTAATCAAAATTATATTTCGTGCAACGTATAAAAAAGTTGATATTGGCAAAATATTCCACCATTCTATTGCCAGTGAAACTATAGCATAAAAAACTATATGGTCACGTAAAGACTATTCGGCGATATCTAATTTTAATAAATTAGCGAATAAAATACTTTATTACGTTCTTACTATTTCAATATCTATCGGTATAATAACAAAATTAAATTTAGTATGGTAATATAAAGGAATTCCTTTTAATAAGTTACTTGTTAGTATTTAACTGTTTTTAAAAATCAATCCATTGACTTTTATTTTTTATTTTTTTTTTATTAGTACAGTAAAAGAGTCTTTATTTTTCGATAGTGGCGAGTAAAGCCTATATCGACCCCGAATGTCAATTGTCACTCAGGCTCAAGGACGTCTGAAATAAAACTATAACTGTAATAAAAGAATAGTGATTGTAAAAAAATAATTATTAAAAACCGCTTTTAAAGAGTAGACTAATTAATTATTAGAATTACGGATTTCTTCTGTCTAAACTATTAGGTTTTCATAATGGTCGGATAATAGTTTTTTTTAATTGATAGATTATAAACACTTAAGAACTAAGTATTTAGATTCTTTTTACATCTACAAAATAACAAAAAATAAATGAAATAAAAGATAGAGATTTTTAAGATATTCGCCATACAAATGAAATTTAAATTTTTTTATATTTTTAACATCATCTACTATCTATTCATTTTACAAAATATATTGTAAGATATCGCTGCATACAAGGTATGTTAACTTCTCCATAATAGTCAATTTGTGGCAAGTCCTGGACTCCTTAATAATGTATATAACAATGTTATTGTATTACGTTACAACTGGGTTATAAGATCCTCTTTTTTATTATAGATATCATTTGAGAACGTCGTTTCCTGGGATAAAATGAAAAGTGATACATTTCATCATTTAGGACAACTTTATACCTTTTTTCCGAATTCAGTTCTGAAATTGACGATATCACTTAATGTGTATCGAATGACATATTTCGCATCAAATTTTTTACGACATTTTGTTTCTGGTAATGTCATTGTATTTTTTATTCTATATTTTTATTCTGTGTCAAGACATTAGTTATCAAATAAATATTATAATAATAATTTCAGTACTGCAGTCACAAATCAATGTTATAAAGCGCCAAAACATTGATTAGACATTCGTACGATAATCTTATAATAGATGCCTCCTCCGTTTCGATGCGAAGTTTGGAATATACTCGTATAGTTAGTTGTTTTACCAACTGCACTTAAGCCAGAATAACTTAATAGTTAAAGATGATTTTTCGCGACTAAGAATCTTTCATGCTATATAATAATAATACGGCAATTTTTTTACATGTTTTATATTTACTGGATATTATGATCGTCATTCGCACTACATTCATATCTCCCAGTGGCGTGCACACCATAGATGCACATAAGCACTGCATACTCTAGGCATATAACAACTAAACCTATATTGTTTAATTTTTACTTACATATTTTTAACTCTACATTACGAAATACAAATGTTTACAGACATATGAATCACGATTTGTTAATAAGTGCCATCTATCAATGTACAAACCAAACATTTTCGATCAGCCGCTGCCAACTACTAGCGCTATAGCGGCGCCAGAGCGGCGCGGCGGTAAGAACAACCACTTTCGAAACGGGACTCTCTGATTGGTCCGTAAACTGTTTATATATTTTTTTCGCCATGTTGTTATTATTGAATATTGTCATTTGTCTTTTAAATCGCAAGTGAATAAGTTTTAATTAGTAAACAGTGGATTAATTTATTAATGAATTATAAAAAATTATAGCTTGTGATGTGTGTTTATCGTAATTAAATACAAGTAGATGTTCAATATTGTTGTTTGGTAATAAAATTAAAATAAGTGTAAAGTCAAGGTGTATGTGTTGTGACCAGTTGAGATTGAACTAAAAGAAAGGTAATGTTATTCGTTT